AAGGAAAGGAAAGGAAAGGAAAGGAAAGGAAAGGAAAGGAAAGGAAAGGAAAGGAAAGGAAAGGAAAGGAAAATCTTGCATAGATTGCCCACCTCTAATTTAAGACAATAGAAATACCGTTTTAGAAAAAAAAAAGACATTTCTTTCTTGCATCAGACCAAAAACATTCCATATTACTTTCCTATGGATCACTTACAATTGCCACATAAGTTTCATTCTACCGTAGGTCAGAAATGTTCTAAAGAAGATGAGAAGAAAAGGAATATTTTGGCTAGTTTTTAAGCAAATTTGTATCTCCCTTCTTTAGGGAAATTCGTCACAGGGTTTTGGTGATCATGAAATAGTTGTACTGGATTCTATGAAGGAACAAATGTTGAATGATACAGATGCACATAGGAATAAACAGATTTCAAAGTAGTTACATGAATATTATTATGCCTACTCCTGTGCTTTTAATAGAAATATAATCTGCAAAAAAAAAAAAGATAAGGGTTCCATTTTTTACTACAAATTAAACTAACCATTAAAAGCCAAATTACAGGATATAGTTCAGAAGTGTGTAACTCTACTTGAATCAGGAGTAGCCATGCAAAAATTTCCTACAGGAAGAATAGCAACCAAACGCTTCTATAAAGAGATCATATCCAGGCCAAATACTTTCATTCTTAAAGTGGGAAATTGCAGACAGACTTTTTCTCCTTGCTAGCAGTTCACAAGAATACATAAGAGACTGAATTAAAGCACAATTTTTTAAACTTCCACAGCTCCAGAAAATCAGCCACCTGCGATGCCACCTGCAATCATTCTGCCCTATTCTTGCTTAAGGTATCCTTATACTTTTCAAAATGGCCAAACAAACCATTGTTTAGAAGGTCAGAAGAAGACAGATGGGGATAGATCTTAAGAATCATATAAATAGCTGCAGTGAAACAAGACGAAAGACCTCCGAGTGTGAGAAATTCATTCACTCAGAAAAAATTATAAAGATATTGAAAATCTACACATAACCTCTATAAATTAGTGTTCCCGCTGTTTAAAGCACTTGAATGACATTCTGGCTATTTCTAATCTCTAGGGCTGAAATTCTTTGGATGATCTGTTTGTGTCATACTGCCTGTGTAACAATAAAATCTGCCTCCTTTTGCTATACTGTAATTTACCACCTAGTTTGACAAACAATTAAGGTATGAGGGAATTTTATCCTATTAATCACCAGTAGCTGCCCTTTTCAGAAAACTGATTCTTCCCCCAAGTATCCTGACGCATCATTTGATAAAACACACATGCAACTACATTTTTGCAACATCAGAAAATTCCCGTCTCTCTTAAGATAAAATTAATTATTATTATTATTATTAAGATAAAAAGGTCTGAATACTCTTAACTTCTTTATAGAAGGACACGTCCATGTTTTAAGTGTTTGCTATGTGATATTCCTATGTCAGTGCCTCCAGTTAGACTAATTTGACCAGAGCTCAATCTTTTTCCATACATATCTCATTAATTGCATTTATTTAACTCTCCATCCACTGCTTCAAAAATAAGGAACAAAGTTGACAAAGAAACTGTCAGGTATGCAGCAGAGAGAATAAAGTGGCCAGGGATACTTGGAGCACTGATTGTCAAAGAAATTACATTGTATCTAGACAAATAGGAACGGGATGAAAGGAAGCATCTTAGCCAATTTTGCATTTTTTTCCCCTTTGAAAAAAAAGGAAGGAGGGAAGGGGAAATAAAAGTACTAAAGGAGCAAAACCAAATAATAGTTCTTTTAATGGTGCGGGGCAATGTTGGAAACTTCTCCTTTAACATACCCTATTGTAATGTAGCCATATTAGTGACAACTTGAAGTAGTAGTACATCAGTATTTAATGTTTAATTTAAATTTCTGTGCCATTTAAATCACTGAATCTAACCATCTACTTAGTGAAGGAGTCCACATTAAAGCATACCAGATTCTGGGCTTTAAAACATCTAGCAAAAAGCAAACTACCACTTCTCTGGGTCATCAGTTCTATTCACATAACTTTTAAATCCAGAAAGTATATGAAAACAAGATTACAGTGAAGTTGGAGGCAAACATTAAGAGTAATAATTCAGAATGTCATATTGTTTATGAGATTCAAGGCACTGAATGTAAAACTCAGTACTGACATATCAGCTTACCATTATTCTTTATATAACTCTATTTTAGTATTTGAGAATTAGGAAAGGAAAAAGAGATAATTAAATATCCAAAATAAATTTTCAGGCAAGATGAAAACAATAATTTTTTAAATGTTTTTCTATAATAATCCCTTTGTTTATAAGTCTACATGGTATATGCAGGGTATAAAATAATTATTGGCCCTAATGCTAATATTTACCAAGGGAGAAATCTATTTACTTCTTTTTAATTTCCAACAATATAATTTCAGGAGTTGTGTTTTCTGTCATGAGAAATTGAGCAATTTCTTTTATCGATTGCAGAGATCAAGGAAATACACACACCACAACATATGTATGTGTATGTATGTATTCACCAAAATCAGCTTTATAATTATCAAGACTATATAAATACTATCTTCTTCCTCGTTTAATTTCAGAAACTTCCAATATTGATTCTAGTATCCCTAAGAAACACTGGCTTAGATTTAAGCACAAAAACACTCCCCAATGTGGCATATTTACCTCATATTCAGGGATAGATTAGGCCATGGGTGGAAAAGTCAAAGGCTTAACTCTGAGACCAATTGAATCCTGATTCTTGATGGCTGCCTTGGGCTTATAAGGAACAATTTGTGGTATTTACTTTTTATGTTTCCGCATGCCTGATGTTGGGCTGCTGCAGTTTATCTGGAAAATTCTTGCTATTCCAGCGAATTGCCACTCTAGTCAACATTTTTAAAGGCAAGCTAGCATCTTTATAGAGATAAACATACAATGACCGAGCCATCAAACGTTAACAGTACAGATCCATGCAAGACTATCTGACACAGATAAATATCTATCCTTTGATTTAAAATAATTATCTCAGTGACAGCAGAGGATTCTCACACTGTACCGAATGTGGTCTTTACTACGCTAGGGTATGATGCTAGGGTGTCACTCCTGGAGAGAGGATAAATTACTCGGTTCCCCCCCCCCCCCCCGCCAACCTCTCCACAACCCAGGACACTTTTGCCACCCAAGCAGATCCCTAAGGTGGCTCTTTATTTTTGCTGCAGTAGCCCAGGAAAACATTTGAGAAGTGGCGTCTCCTTTTTTTTCTACCAGAAGCCTAGTTCTGAGGCCTTGAGCCCCCCACCCGCACCCCCTTCCCCAACCTACATTTCTCTCTTTTTCCAGCTCTCTACAGCTGCTTCGCAAACGGCTCGCCATGCTACTCCCATTATTTCCATCTCTGAGACAGGTGGAGCCTCTTTAAGGAAGGTGCATAATCAGTCAGCCAGTCTGAACTTACTCCCGTTCATAACCTAATGGCTATTTTAATATTGATAGCACACACTGGGATAATTTGGTGGGATAACATAGCCATATATTACCAAGGGCCATCCTATTGAGGAGGCATCTCTTTTTCGCCAAGGGAGGCTCCCTTGCTCATTTCACCTGTTATTTTCAGATGATTTGGGATTATTCCCACATCATTTCCCCCCCCTAAACTACTGTATAAAAAGCCACCGAGGTTGCCAGTTTACAAAACGTCTATTATTTGTAAGAACAAAGAACAATCTTTTTTACATAAAGACACCACGGTTTCTATACTTTTGATGCACATGGGCTTCGTTCTTTTAAAAAGTGCTGAATTTACTATTATATAACTATTGAACTAAACAGCTGTTGAAATGGAAGTGTCGGCTGTCGTGTCTGTCTGAATCGAAATATCTTTATAGGGCCACTTTTTTTTTCTGACACAGAGATTTATAATATGGCATACTCGCAGCAGCTGCTCATTCCATAATTCACTGCTCTGAAGGTACCCAAATCTCAGTTTATGTATTCCGAAAAAGATAATCCATTGTAGATGGTTATAGGTTGTTCCTAGCTGCTTTAAAAAAAAAGCTTTGGGAACGTTTGCTCTCCACGAAAAGTGCTAAATGTAAAAGCCCAAAACAAATATACAGCCCTGCATTTGTTCATTTGTAATTAGTGACAGCTCAGCATTTGTGAGAATGGGTTATAGATAGGTGACATCTCCCACTTTTCAAGCATCGTTAATTATGTGTCTGTCCAAAGAACCATTCTGTGCCTCTCCCCCCCCCCAAACCCCCGTCTGTTTCTCTTCCAGACCAGTGCACAGAATAGACCAGAGCACTACTCTGCTCTTTCCACGGGGCGTTTTTGTACATCTGCCTGGCACAGGTGGCACAATTCCTTTCTCAGCATCACCTTGTAAAGCACATGGAAATCTAAATTACGGGCTCCGTTGCCTGGATCAGTCCCAGGCATGTGTTTCAGCCCCAGTGAAGGTTGGGGAAGCTGTGTGGATGCAGGCCTGGCCAAATCCTATAGAGGAAGAGCAGACCCACCCCCAAGGCTTTGGTTCAAGAAGGATTTTTGCATCGGAAATCCTAGACAGGCAGAAGCGGATCGGATGGAGAGAGTGAATGCTCAGAGATTCAGACAGTCAAAGCAAGCAAGCAACCAGCGATGGTTCTGTCCCCTTGCAGACCTCCACCAACAGTCACAGCACAGGGGCCTTGAGCGAGCGGCAGTGCCATGCAGGCAGCCACCCCAATTCTTTGTCCTCCTTGCCCGCCTGTCCCCCCAAAGCCCCACAGACGTTCTCCGTACTCTGCCCAGAGGAGGAAATCACCAAGGAGGAATTCACCCTACCACCTGCCTTGGCCAGTTTGGGCATCCCTGCTCGGCTTTCACCCCAGGGCTCTTCCTATGCCCGCCCTTCGCCTTTCTCGGGGTGGCAAGAACTTGGCTCCCAAGAGCATGGGGTGGGGTGGGGAGGGTTGTAGCCCTGTCTGGATGGAGCGTCCTGCGGGAGGGCCCAAAGGTGGGCGACTTACCGGTTGATGGAGGAGACGCTGGGGACGGTGTCGTTGTCACAGATGCCCTCCGCCAGGAGCCGGTCGCGAATCTCCCAGGCGAACATGGTGGGGTTCTGCCTTTTGTACTCGGCGATTTTATCCACCACTTTCGGGGTAGCCACCTTGGGCTTGGAGCCACCGATCACGCCGGGTTTGATGCTCCCGGTCTCGTAATACCTGTGGGGGAGGAAGGGGGGAGGCAAGAGGCCGGGCTCAGGTGGCGCTCCCATCGCCGCACCTCGGTTCCCCGCCGCAGCCCCGCCAGCACCTCGCCGACCCGCCCGCTTTTCTGCCCGGGCCACGCTTTGAAGGCCCGGCTCCCCCGCCTCTCTCGCCTTGGCCAGGCCGGCTAGGCCCTAGGTAAGGGCCCAAGAGGCTGAGACAGGCCGGAAAGGGACCCCGAGGTCAGAGAAGGCCGCTTGGCCTTCGAGGGGGGGACTCTTCTTCTCCGGCCTCGGGCTCGGGCTCTGCCCCCCCCGGGCCGTCGGTCTCCTTTTGGCGGCTCCCCACTCCCATCCTAGCTGAGCTCTCTGGCGGCGGCGGCGGCGGCGGCGGCGCTGCGGCCGGGTTCCTGCTGACCTGCGGCTGGAGAGAAAGCAGGGCCCGGCCTGGCTTAGCTGGGAGGCGGGGAGGGGATGCTTGCCGGCTGGTCTCACCGCAAGCAGGGCGGCGCTCGGTTTGTCCCCGGGCTCGTCGGGCTTTTCCCCCTCTTTGCGAACCCACCGCAGGTCCCTGTGTCGAGACAGGCCAGACAAAAGAAAGCGGCAGGAAGGAGCGGGGTGGTGGTGGTTGGGGGGGGGGGGCCCGCCGGGCCCGGGCAGGGCGAGGGACCCCGAGGGGGCAGCCGAGCAGCAGACCTCCCCCCCACCTCCTCCCTTCTCGCCCCCGCCGCCCGCTCATACCTGCCCAGGATCTTGCTGACACAGCCGTGGCTGACCCGGAGCTGCCGGGAGATGTCGCAAGGCCGCACGCCCTGGTGAGCCAGCTCCACGATCCTCTGCCGCACCACGTCCGGTAGGGGCCTGCCGTTTACAAACACCCCCCCGAGCTGGTTGACACCCCCGTGCCCTGCTGGGGAGAGAGAACGGAAAGACAGAAAAGCAGGCGAGCGGGGAAGGGGAAAGGGGGGGAAAAAAAAGACGAGAGAAAGGCATTAGTCGGGGCAGTTCGGCCGAGCTGGAAGCCGGATTGGGGTTGTGTTTATTGGGGGGGGGTCACTCTGCCAGCAGTTCTGGGACCAAGATTGTGGGGGGGACAAAGTCTCTTTGCCGCTTGACGCAAAGACCCTCTTTCCAGTCTGGGGTGGGGGGCGCTTCTCCTTCTCCTCGGCCTTCCTGCCCCCCCCCCCAAGTGCCCAGCAAGAAGCCGGGCGAGACTGAGGCTGCCAAGTGGGACCCGCGCCCCTCGAGGGAAGCGACCCTCTCAAAAAAAAAAAAAAAATCCGAAATCCAAAGACTCGTTTTTCCACCCGTGAATGACGTTTCTGGTTATTTCCTAAATGCTTTTTTTCCACCAGCTGCCGCTACTACTACTAACTGCTCTTGTTGCTGTTAATAGGACTTATTTACCTTCTCGTTTCCCGGGAAAAAAATTTTTTTTTCTCCAGATATTGAAACCAACCAATGCCGGCGGATGGTTTGATTTCTTATTATTATTATTATTATTATTATTATTATTATTATTATTATTATTATTATTATTATTATTATTATTATTTTAAAAAGTCTTTTTCAAACATTTTTTAAAACAGCCTCTTCGGACAACCCCTCAACCCTCTTTCGATCCTTTAAGCCTAAAATCTAGTAGGATTTGAAGGCGGAGAAGCAAAGGATTTCAAGGAAGGCGATTTTTAAATCCGACTTTACTCCCCGCCCAGCTAACTGAGAAGCGGAGTCTCTTCTGTTCTCCGTTTCTTCGCTTTTGATTATTCAACCCAGTTAACCTCGCGACCTCCATTTCGGCTGATCTCCTCCTCGAATGAAATCTACAGCGCTTCTGCTGCTGCTCTGGAAGGGAAACGGGTCCCAAGGGCGGTTTCGATCTCCAGAGATCTTAATGGCTACGAGGAGAGGGCCAAGCAGGTGGATACCAAGAGAAACCTCGTCGACCACTCCAAACCTTCCCGTAGGCAAACCCACCTGGGCTTCTTTTCCACCCGACGGGAGGAGTTGAAGCGGATTCGGAGGCTGGCTGGAAAAATGACCTGTTTGCATTTTTTGCCAGTCTCTCTCTCTCCCTCCTTCCCCCCCTCCCCTTTGTGATACTGACTTATGGTCTCTGAACTTAGTGGAAACTCTTCTTGCCCTCTATCGATCCCAATCCTTTGGCAAATTAAGTTTTTTTTCCTCTCCTTTCTAGAGACAGCCGTTCAAGGATGTTTGAACCGTCCTCCGTTACGTCCGCTTGGTAGCTATTTATCAGCCTGTACTGGAAACACGAATGTGTTTCGCCCCTCATCGACTGCCACGGTTCTGTGCTCCGTGTCAGAGAAGTGGAAGTCGGTGGGAGTTTCGGATCGCCTTCCTTGCCTCCTTCTCTCTCCCCCCCTCCACCTCTCGAAGTATCTGCTTATTTCCTTCATTTATCTGATTCACCTTTTGCAGATGTTGCCTCTAAAGTTACAAGCCGGCAAGCAATTTCTCCCAAGACCTCAAATTCTGAATAATTCAAAGCACCTTTGATAACTCACATTACAGAGTATTAAAAGGCAACAGATGCAAAAAAAAAAAAAAAAAAAAAGATCAGGGAATTAATAATTCAGAGGATTGCACCTGCTTCTTCCTAACCCAGAGCAGTTGCACCTTGCAGAGTTCATTTTCTTTGGTTTCCAACCCTATTTCTTGTTCCTGACTTTTCATTGTATCGAATGCAAGATATATACTTCATAGGAAGCAAAATCCCTCCATTAGGGGAAAAAAAGAAATGGTAGAAGGTGCTAAAGATAATGAGTCACTGTTTTTTTTAGTTTTAACTGGTGGCTCCAACCTGAAAATCGGTCTGCAAATCTGATCTCGTTTCCCACTGAATTAAATCTAGAACTAGTCAGTTTTGTTCCTTAAGTGATGAACAAGACATGAAGCAAGGTGAGTCATTGTACATAATCTTTTTTTTAAAAAAAAAATCGTGGAAAATTTCAGAAAAATAAAGCTTCCCAACGTTTTTGAAAAAATGCATTTTGTTGGTCGATAACGTCCTCCCTGTTTTTCCAATCTCTCTCTCTCTATATATATATATATTTTAATTTTAACAGATTCATTTTCGTTTCTTTATAAGCCTGTGGTTAGCTAAGGCGAAGTAAAAGCCAAGGGTGTAGAAAGTTAGCTTGGTTATATACTACTTAACCTTTGTGTGCAATCGCCTATTCTATTTTTTATTTCAAAGTTCAAAACCCGAGATTGATTCTCTTTGATTTTTTTGGTTTTTTTAATACAGTAATGCGTGGGGGGGGGGGGAGGGAACCAGCGTGACGGAGATTCTGGATTTTCCACCCGTTTTTGCCCTCGCATCTTTTATTTCTTTACGAATCAACATAATTCCTGCATTGTACGAGTTTTAAAACTGCAGGGAAAAATCCGAATCAGAAGCAAAATCGGCCACGCACCAAAATTTCCATAAACGCGGCATCGTTAATATTTTCGACCTTGAAATACGGGTGTTTTTTTAAAACCCCCGCAAAGAAATAAAGATATATAAATCGCCGTTTGTTCCTCCGCCGGGGCAGCCTTCGGAGTAGCGAAGGGAAAGGTCGAGGAGGCAGCGAAGGTGCCCCTTCGACTTTGCCCGCACGCCGGAGCCTTGCCGCGGGCATTCCCGGAGGCCTCTCCGGGACCAAGACTTCCCGGGGGAATTTTGTGAAGGAGCCGCGCCGGTTTCAGAACCGGGACTTCCCGAGTCCTTCTCACTGCCTTTCTGGCAGATCCAAGAGGCGAGCGGCTTTCACCCCGGCGGGGCGGTCGGGGCCTCAGCAGGGAGACCGTGGGAAACGGGGAAAAAAAAAAAACCCCAACTTTCTACTGGGGCAAGCGGGATCGAGGAGACAGCCGCCGGGCAGGGGAAAGGAAGGCTGCGGCCGGTACTCACGGTGCATCGCGGAGAAGGGGTCTGCTTTGCAGTGCATATCCATGGGGAGGCAGAGGAAAGGGAAGAAGTCGGCTGAAGCCGCCGTTTCGCCTCGGAGGTTCGACTTCAGGACTTGGGGGAGAATTAGGAGAACAAGCCGTTGGGTGCCCGGCCGGCGGGCCGCGGGGAGCTTCCTTGCCCTCCGCCCGCTGCTGGCCGTGCGAGCTGGCGAGCGAGGGGAAGTTATGCCCGCTGCAGCCTTCACACGATCCCTGCCTGGTTGGCTAAGGGGGGGCCGAAGCAAGGCATGGCGGGGTCCCTTGTAAGGCGGTGGTGGCGGCTCTCCTTCCCGGCCCGGGTCGGCTTAAGCTGAAGTTGGCGCGCTGCGGCCAGTCCGGGCACGCGGGCGCTTCCCTCCCCAGGCAGCCTTCTCCGCCTCTGTAGCTCCAGGTTCCTTGGCGACGGGTGGAGGACTCCTTCTGCTCCGGCCAGACTTTTGCCTCCTCCTCCTCTTCCTCCTCCTCCTCCTCCCCCTCTTTGCCTTCCTGGCGGATTTGCGCCAAGGTGGGGATGTGCTTGCCACGAGCTTTGCCTGGAGAATGGAGCTGCCGCCGCCAGTGCCCGTCTCTCTAAAAGCGGCAAAGCCCCCTCCAGATCGCACCCGGCTCCCCCCTCGTCCACACACATCCCCACACACACACACACCTCCACCCCTCCCTCCCTCCCTCCCTCCCTCCTTCCCTCCCTCCCCCGCGCGCCCGGCCGGGAGATGGATGACTTGTCAGACAAAGGCAGTAGATTCCAACACTCGCGGATTCGCCAAAGCGCAGCGCCCCATCCCCGGCCAGTGGCTCCCTGGCTCGGCCCCGGCGATCCTCCAGCCGTCCCCCCGCGAGGCATGCTCGGGTCTCGGGGGCCGTGGCATCCGCCCATCCTGCTCCTGGACAGCCCCGAGAACACCTGGTTGCTCCGGGACGCCTGCCTCTCGCCTCGCTCCTTGGTTGGCCTTTTTTGGGTGGGTGGGGGGCTGTGGGAGGGGGGGGAGGCCGGGAACGGGCGCTTCCATCTCTCAGACGCCCGCGGCGGTGGCGGCGGGACCTTCCCCGCCACCTTGGCGTGTGTGCGTGGCGGTAAACTCCGATCCTCCGGCCGCCATCATCGCGCCTTCCCCATCCGCCAGGCCTTCTTGCCGTCCGAAAGAAAGAAGCTTGGGAAGCGAGGTCCTCTCCGCCCAGAGCCCTGGCCGGAGCGCGCCGTAGACACAGGCCGGCCGGTTGCTCCGCTCCCGAGGTGCGTCTTTTACACGCTCCGCGAGAAAGAAACCGCCCCGACCTCCGCCAACGGCGCCGTTGGAAAGCGGGCCTTCTTGGAAGTCGTCCCCGTCCCCCCCCTCCCCAGACTCACCTTGAGAGGAAGGAGGCGGCTGCGGATCGGCTACACAGGCCGAATTTCCCTTCCGAGCAAGGGAACGGTCGGCTTCAAGGTCCCCGGCCTTAGCGGCTGCCGGTTGTGGCGCGCCGAGCTGGTCCGAAGGGGAGAGGAAGGAGGGGAAGGAACCCCTACTCTCGGGGACTTTCTATTGTAGTACCAAGCCCAAGTAAGTCCCATTTAGCTGGACGCTCCATAGAAGGGGGTGGGGGTGGGGTGGGGGAGTCTATCCGTCAATGCGTATTTCGACCACCCAGATTTTTTTCTTAAGGAAATGCATTAAAACGCCCGCACGCTTCGCCTGCATTTCGATTTCATTCTGCCAAAGAACAGGACTTTAACCCCGCTTTTTTTATTATTATTATTATTTTTTTGCGGTTTTTCAAACTGTCTCCAGGAATAAGTTTGTATTTTTGTTGTTGTTGTTGTTTACGTTCACTGTGCATAAAAGAGATTTCCTATCGATTTCGAAACGAAGTTAAAAGTGTTTTTTTTTTTCCCCCACTTCTGAGAAATGTTCAGGAAACGAAAAGGGGAGGGAGGGGGGAGAGCCAGGAGCCTGCGGCAAATCAAGAAACCTCCCTGCCCATTTGCTCTCCTCAAAACGCGGGTTTTTCGTCCTTTTCCAGGTAACGGGTAGGGGCGGTTGGCGAAATTAAAACTCAGCTCTTCCCCCCCACTCCCCACTTTTGCTTAGATCTTCCTGCCTTGCCCCCACTTCGCCAGCAGAAAGTCTCGGGTTCGCAACCAGCTGCGCGCCTCTTCGCGTGGAATATTTCTCGGGATGACATCAATCAGAGTGACACTTCCCTCTTGTCTCTCTCTGCCTTGCCCACTTCGGGGGCCCTTATAGGCTCCGACAGCTAGGCAGGCTCCTTTCAAGCAGAGCGTGCGTGGCGAAATGCCACCGCCGCCGCCAATGATCCTTTTGCCCCTGCGCCACGGCTGGTTGTTATGTTATTCTGTCCTACCCGGCTGTGTGTGTGTGTGAGAGAGAGAGAGAGAGAGAGACTGGGCCGGTCTCAACGCAATGGCCCTTGAGCTCGGATCAAGCGGGCCATTTACAGGGATGAGAGAGACGCAGAGGCGGGTGGCGGAAACGGTTCTCCTGTTTCACGGGAATCGTATTTATTTATTTATTGGTTCGATTTATATGCCGCCCTTCTCCGGAGACTCAGGGCGGCTTACAATGCATTAAGCAATAGCCTTCATACTTTTGTATAATATACCTGCTTAGTAGGGTATCTTGGGGGGGACGCACACAAGTCCACCAATTCACACGAGCACAGAGGACACGTTTCTCTGACCTCCCTCCACCCAAAAACTCTTCAACCCGCCTTGCTTGCTTGCTTGCTTGGCCCCGGCGCAGTTGCAGCGGCAGCCGAAGCGGTAGGTGGGTGAAAGAATTCTCCCTCCTCCGGGGGTCGGGGCGGAGCTGGAATCCGGAGGGAGCAGAGGGGTGTGTGGGGCGGGCGGGGGAGGGAGGGACCCTATCCCGGACGCAGGTGGACGGAAGGTTTCCTCCACTCCGCTAAGTTTTGGGGGGCAACCGGAGATTGTTCCAAGCGGCACCTACAGAGGGCGTTGGGCGGTTTGCTACTTCTCCTTAAGATTTCGGGAAAAGTTTCAAACTAAAAACCGGGCTCTAAATGAATCTTCAGTCCTGGAGCTTTGATTATCCCACCCCTCCCCTCCCGAAGCTGAGTCATCTTTTTTTTTCTCCCTCCTTCTTTTTAGGAGTTTGGTATTTGAGCGAGGCACCAAACACAATCACACTCTCTTTGAGATCTGCCCAGCCCGAGATCTCTTTCAAGGTCCCTGTTCTCGGCTGAGCTGTGCCAGAAAATGAAATTAATCGGTCACTGCAGTTCATCCCTGCTCTCCACCCCCACCCCCACCGGGCAGAGCCTTTCGCAGTCTACCGGGAAATCCCTGGGCCGTCAGGACTTAATCTTGGCCAAAATCCCCAACCAACTGAGTCCTGCCACTGAACTCCGGCAATTGCTTCTGGTTCTCAGCCGAGCAACCTCAGTCCCAAGCGCCAGCGCGGTCTCTGCTTCCTGTCTCGGCTGCCCCACATCGGGCCTCTTGTCCGGGGACCTCTGGCCGAGTTGCTTTCCGTTCCCGAGTCAACCCCGCTTTAGCCCCAAATATACGTTGATGGCAGTCGCTCTGAAAGAACCTCTCGGGCGGTTCTTCCTTAGGCCAAAAAAAAAAAAGGAAATGGGTCGAAAAGCGCCTCGTGGTATGGGGCAAGCTTCTTTTAAGGAAAGTTGGATTTTGAAGAGGGAATCAAAGCAAACTTGGTGAGCTGCTTTGGCTAAAATGGTTGAAACCCTCTGGAAGTTATTTTCATAAAATTTAAACCCGGTTACACCTTTATCAAAAGCGACCCATCTTGAGATTTAAAAAAAAACACACAAAATAATAATAATAAAAAAAGAGACGGCTTTGGAAGCGTCTTTCCATCTCTCTGTTGGTGGACAAGGATAGAAGTCTCTTGTGTCAATAGCCCACCCCCCTCTTGGGAGCCTCTAATCTCGGCTCCCCTCCCCAAATTATCACCTCTTCCTGAGCAGGACTTCCTGGAGGAATTGCTTTGTCAACAGTCAAATCTACCCAACAATTTCTATCAGCCCGAGGGCGGCTCTGTGTGTATGTGTGTGTGAGAGAGAGAGAGAGAACGACGAGGATGCTAATTCCTCCAGCAGGATCCCTGAACTCGCTTCTCCTGGCTCTCCCCTTCCTTCTAGCTACCCCCAAAGAGATGGAACGAAGGGATTTCAATCACTATAAAGAATTCCCTCCCCCCCGCTCCCCCTCCCCCTCCCTTCCTCTGTTATCTTTCGGAAAACTCCCCGAGCCCAACTCGCGGCTGGGTCAAGCTTGGCTGCTCCCGCTAGTTTTACTTTAAATGAATCTTCTTTCTCCTTTTTTTTTTTTCAAAGAGGGTCTCTCTTGCCCCCGCTTATTCATTCTCTCCCCCCACCCCACCCCCACACCTTCCAACGCGGAGCATTTACACTTCAAAAGCGGCACCCGCGTCTCTGCGGAAATTTGGAGAAGTGGGGGGGGGAATAAACTAACTTTTGGGAGGTTGGGGAAGATAGCAATCTATGCATTGGTTTCATTACCTCCCCTCCCCCTCCCCCTCCCCAACTGATCAAGCAAAGCGAACCCACTGATCTCATCCTCTCCCCCACCCCCCGCCCGCGCCCCAACTAATATGAACTCTCAGCCCTCCCTGGACTCTACAGACAATGTGATTTCTCTTCCCTTCCGGAGAATCTTGCATTCCCCCCCCCACCCCGCCCTTCGACCTGGGATAGAGAACAAGCCGCTCATTGCTTCTTTCTAGGTGCCTCTCGGCCGTTCCTGCTTTTCTGAGTCCCCCAGTTATGTTTGGGGACCGAGATAGATCTGCTAATTCAGCAAGACTCCTTTGCTGCCTACTAATTGCCTTGTCCTGATAAGGGAGCTTTGATTGCCGCATTTTACACAAGCCCGAGGATGCTTTTCAGACCAAAGGAAATGCAAGGCGGGTGCCTTTTCCTGCCTCCCCGTGTTGTTAAATCGGCTTTTCTCTCTTTCCTCAGTCCTCCATCACTACACCACGCAATCTACTTGGGGGAAAGACACCCGAGGGGTAGAAGAGCCGCCTTTACTATAGCTATGTGGCAACCCCGATGACGCTCTGATTTGGGAGGAGAGAGAGAGAGAGAGAGAGTCCGGCTTTGGGACATAATAAAGCAGGACCGTCCTGGGGTAGGCCGAAGGTGCCACTACTACTAGGAGTAAAGAGGAAGAGGGCAGCGCAAAGATTTTTTTTTCTCTCTCTCCCCCGGGGGAAAGGGCGATCAAGAGACGGGTCTCCATCCCCGGCCACCGCCTAAACCGTGCTAAGGGAGCCCCAGCCCGAGGAAGGGAGA